ATTTCAAACATTTTCAAGTTCAGAAAAAGTTATATCGGAATAAATTAATCACCAGCAAAGTTAATGAAAACGAAGGTTTTTATATATTTTGAATTAATCACTAATTCTATAATATCTGAAATACAGAATATAACACAGTAATTGCCAATCTTTCGCACCAAGCATATAATTACATTTCTTCAGATAAATCATTCAAAAGGACTCTTAAGAAACAAGCTATTTAAAAAGCAATAATGAAATATCAGATCATTGTTAAAGTTTGTGTGCGATTTTCATTATTTTTCATTTTCTAATCCTGCCCTTGGGAAAGAGAATGAATCCTCTTCTTCTCCCCTCCCAGCTATGGGTAAATAGCAGGACAGACCGGGTTCTATAGCCTTGGATGGCAACTGGTCTACCGCAGAAAGAAATGGCAACTTACTGCGGGAAAAAAATCTGCCTCGTCAGTCATGTATCAAAAGATACATGATCGCCTAGGCGTGTATCACTCATGGCACATAACTGACTGAATCCGGCACGAATTTATACAAGGATCTATTATAATAAAGATATTGTGATATCTAAACAAGGTAATGTATTCTGGAGTTTAATCGATATACGCCCCATGGTCAATAGGCAGCAGAGATGCCTACTGGTGATCTATTTTGCTTTAAGACCTGTCAGAAGTATGCATATAATACAGCTAAATAGATGTTTATTTAGAAAAACATTTCTATTAAGTAAGCTGCTCTAAGTAAGCCGAGATAAGGACAGAAATTCCCTGTATGGCTTCGAAGTTATTTTCAATCCATTATCATTGTGTTTTCTAACTCATATAAAGTCTGGGCTGTTGTAATTGTATCAAAATAGCACTTTAATACCAATTAATTTAGCTAGGGTCGGGGGTGTATGCTGATTGGCGACTTTTATTTTTGCCTCCACTTTCTTTAGTTTAATTCCCCATTAGGTGACCTGAAATGTCAGCTCTCTGGTAAATGCGGGACACTTTTCGTTTTTCGAGTGTGTTTTTCGTATTTATTGTCGTGTCTGAATGAGTGTGTAGTTGTATGTGCGTGTTTGGTCGAATGACTTGTTTTAATTTATCCAAGTTCTGCATTAATTTCGTTCAGTCAACTGAAATTTCTGCCACAATTAAGGAGTGTGTGTATTTATAATTTTTTCTTATTACTAACACCATTTTGTTTAGTCTGTTGCATATATAGTATTATGCATAGTGTAAATATTAATCGGGGTTTTCATTTTTAAAATGTTGCTATTTTCATTTTTAAATGTTGCTATTTTTATTTCCTACCGCCCACAGACAATTGTACATATGGAACTAGTTAGGATTTCATAGAGTTTTTAAGGTATTACGGTGAGTGTATATAATAAGATTGGTAAGTAAGAATGTGGTGTTTTGGTGCAAGGAATATAGTATAGTTGGTTTGATCAGTAATTATGGTTACCTAAATTTTTAAGATAAGACTGATGAAGACCAGCTTTCCCATCCCTACTTTTGGCCTTGTGCCACATTTTTTTGTTTTATACAAAAATAAATATCATAGCACTTTAATACCAGAAATAAATGGGAAATTGTAAACCAGTGTCCTTTGCAAGTAACTGACTCAAATGATTAAATAATTTTATTTCAAGTTGTAAAGATAAATGCCAAACATGTTATTATAATCAGACTAGTATACCTATCTTGGTTGTTTTACTCACAACGTTTCGACTACTCCATCCCCGGTCTTCTTCAGCTGTCTGTCATCGTACTTGATAATTTTCTCTAAATTTTGAATCAGCCTTTTCAAAAGCTTTCTGTGCTTAGCATCAGTCAGTACTCATCAGTCTTTGTGTCTGTTGTTCATCTTTTCCACTGAAGAAATATATGTAACATTTCCGCACTACAAAACCTATGTAATTAAGGTCACATCGTGTTGAAACATCGGTTCGATCATCGAAGTTAAGCAGTGCCGAGCCTTGTCATTACCTAGATGGGTGACCGCTTCGGAATACCAGGTGATGCAAGCTTGGATGTGAGTGCGGTGTAATAGATAATGGCTCGGAATTGTTTACCGGAGAGCCAAGTTCTAATTCTCGTTGGGTCGTTATATTCACTTACTCTCAAATACTCTTGGGGGAGGTATGAATTTACCTCTTCTCCCCCCGCCCCAAAGTAGGATTGAATTAGAAAGCACTCACAACTTCAAAGGTTACTTGGACGCCGTGAGTTCAATTGCTGTCCCTGCTGATACGGAAAAACCCTTTTTTTTCTGAGAAAGAAGCAAACATGTTACACAATGGGGAATAAAACTGGTGAATTATCTCCCCTCGGCATGAAAAAAAGGATTGAGAACAATCTACCCTATTGGATTGAATAAAGTGTTCGCTTCGAAATTCGAAGACGGTTACTGATTACGACAACAGACGACTGTAGAAGGACGGTGGATATAACGACCGAAATGTTATCAGTCGAACAACTAAAACATGTTGGTCAGAATTACAAAGCATATAATATTGAGAATTCTTCATCTTTAATATTCTGACAAAAAATTAGGCAAACCCCATTTTGCGAATTTATTCCCATTCATATTGCGACTTTCTAGATCCAGATTTTCTAAACTTGATTTCAGAGAAAATATGTTGATATTGGTCCAAAGAAAAGAAATACAAATAGGAAGATCATTTGGTATAGGAAGACCATTTAATCAATTAGTCAGTACTAAGTTAGGCTACATGTTCCTCCTATTGATTGATAAACATTTTCCTAAAAGTAACCCTCTTAGTAAAATATTTAATAGAAACACATTAAAACTAAGTTATAGCTGCACCAATAATCTTGAGAACTTCATAAAGTTACACAATAATAACATTTTAAACCAATTTAATAATCTGGATCATAATGCATGTTCCACGGGAAATATTGTTAAATATAGTGGCCAGTGTAATTGTAGGAATTCTGAACAATGCCCATTGCTAAACAAATGTATAACAAAATCTCTTGTTTATCTTTGTACTATCTCTACAGTAGAAAATCCGACGGTTGAAAAGTTCTATATTGGTAGTACTAAAAATTCTTTCAAAACTAGATGGTATCAACATACCTTATCTTTTACTTTAATTATACATATAATAACCAGCAGCAAAATAATTAGAAATGCATTTAATTTGCACATATATTAGGTCAATTCTGTCATTAATGCTTTCATTAATTCCTGAACATCGAAAGTCAAGCTTTCTTGATGTTCAACCAACTTCAATAGGAAAATCATTTGCAATGCTTTTCTATTGTAAACACTATTAGTATTACATAATATTACAGTAATATATATCATTATATTATTTATTTATAGTAAAAAAAAATACGCACTGCTGATGAGTTCCAAATAGGATGAAACGGCCGTCCAGTGCTATAAATAAATAATATAATGATATATATTACTATATATGATTACTCATTTGCAGGAGAATGTAAATGTTTTCCATTTAATATTGTTAAATATAGTGGCCAGTGTAATTGTAGGAATTCTGAACAATGCCCATTGCTAAACAAATGTATAACAAAATCTCTTGTTTATCTTTGTACTATCTCTACAGTAGAAAATCCGACGGTTGAAAAGTTCTATATTGGTAGTACTAAAAATTCTTTCAAAACTAGATGGTATCAACATGCCTTATCTTTTACCAATAGTACTTACAGAAATAATACATCACTTTCTAAATATTTTTGGAGTTTAAAAGATGATAATAAGACGTCTGAGGTGAAATGAAAAATTTTAAAAACGGCAAGGACATGTACATCTTTATATGAACCCTGTTTTCTCTGCTTAAATGAAAAACTGGAAAATTTTAGATTTAATAAAAATTTCTTATTAAATCAATGGAATGAATTAACAGTAAATTGTAAATATAGCTTACCTTTACTTTACAAATTAGTTAAACTTTGAAATTTGATAATGCTTTTTCTTATATTTTAGTTTTACTGCGTTGCACCATATATGGCTTTCTATTTGTTAGATTAATTTGGATTTGATACAATTTTGTATTAATCTCCTGGTAATATTAGTGACATCTTGTGCGGATAGATTAGTATTTGGTTGGTATTTTTGACATTTTACATTGATTGGTTATTATTATTAACATCTTATATGTAGAATCTTTATTCAACAGCTTCATATTAATTTACCAAATAATTCTATATGTTTAAATTATATACTGGTTTCTTAAAGAAGCTATTTATTTATTAACTATAAAAAATTTTTTGTAGGGAACTCATAAATCATATAACTTGTTTAGCATTTTGTTAAATTAACTCACCACCCCATTATTATTACTTAGGAAATGGCATTGTCTAGTTTGTATAATTTATGAATTCTTCATTAGGATTTCGCTTTTTCTCAGATGCAATATTACAGACCTATCGCTATTCCGTCGCTATGTCCATGGTAAATGTTCTGATGAACTCGATTCTTTAGGGTCTCTAATTTATGTCTTTACAATTAGGACACAGTGTACTACTTCTATAAAGTCGAATCAACTCCATTTCTCCCCTATTCCTTATGTAAATAGAAAGTTACATTTAGTTTTTTTTTTACAGGAACTGCTATATTTTCAAACATACTCCCGCGTAGATGCTTCCATGCGCACTACACTCTTAACCTCTTCAAATAATTATGCATGCTATTGATATGTATCCTCTTCATACTCTCTTTCATTAAACTCAGACATCTGTTGGTTGGTTGTTTTTGTTTAACGGCATATCAACACATCTATGGGTTATTTAATGCCGAAAACTAAATATTTTGTACGCAATTTTTATTTGTTTTATATTTGTTGAGATAATAATGATTTAATGATACAAGTCTTACTAATTAACCCTTAGCTGGGGGAAGATGTGGATTCATACCTTTCCTAAGAGCATTTGCGCATAAGTGAATATAACAAACCCAACGGGAACGGAACTCGGCTCTCCGATTAACAATTCCGAGACATTGTACCCTAACCCACCCGCACATTCAAGTTTACAGCAACTGGTATTCCCAAGCGGTCACACATCTAATTACCGACCAGGCTGGACGATGCTTAAATTCGGTGATTGTACAGGAACTGGTGTTTCAATGTGGTTTGGCGGTAAACTCATCTTATTCAGCATAACTATACTAAGAATAACACTCTGCCTTGAGTAGCTCTCGAGCCTAGTATTAGGTGAACTTTAGCATAAAAAGAAAAACATATACATTGTGACTCACAGTATCGACGTTCTGCTGATAATTATATCTCTTGTAGCATACCTACGAAAGATAATGGGCATGCCCCTATTCCTACAAATACAGTAGTAAATGCTGTATGTTGGTCTGCAATTGGACATTCGCCTCTAGCTGTGCTGGTCAAGCTCTCTGCCTCCGGGCAGAGAGGATCCCCAGACGAGCTACATTTGACCGCGTGGAGCGGTTGGTCTATCCTGCAGTTGGAGATTCATCTCCAGTTATGCTGGTCAAACTCTCTGCCTTAGGCTATGTCGAAGGTCAGAGTCTCGTCTCGGGAAACAGCTACCCGACCCCGTTTTATACGGAGTCAACGGGAAATTTTTCGCCGGGTCTACGGGCTCGGATAACCCACATTAAATTAGGCCTTGTACCACATCTGACCGCGTGGGGCGATTGGTAGATATCCTGCAGTTCAAGATTCATTGTGGAATTCACTTGACTCATTTCTAGCAGTTGACTTCTACACGCCGTTGGCGAATCTTATAATTGTTGTTCGTTTCCTACATATTATGGTTAGTTACCTACCTTCATTTGATTATTTTATTCAGTAACCTTCCCTAGTTTTAAACAATATCTTTACTATTCTACTTGTTTCTAACTTGGTCGCGATTCTTTCAATGTTGGTCTACCGTACTCGAATAGTTCAAGCGTACTCGAATGATTTAAGAATCTCATTGAATCTAACCGTTCATTAAAGCTTATAAGTTATGCATTACTTATTTGCAAAAGCATTTTAATAATGACGTAATTAGCATAAATTATTTTGCCTTACTGAAACGTTTTCAACCGAAATTTAAACAATATAATTTATCTTGGCAGACATTTTCAGAAAGAGTTGGGGGCAAAGAGAGAATAGAAAAGCGATTTTATTACTTCTTTGGACCTGACCGCTTACGTCTTAAAATACATTTTCTTTGAAAAGGTAATTATGTAATACACGAACAAAGATACCAAGCGATTAGATATGGGAATTATCATTACGAATCTTTGTGGGGTAATTTACTCGTATCACTAAGAAAAACAGATGTGAATGGAAAAGATAAATGAGAAGCAGATAAAACATTCGCTCGTCTGAATATATTTCTTTTTCGTGTGCAAAGTTTTTGTTAGACTATTTCTTCAAAATTAGAACTAATTGAAAATCTTGATTTCGTGATTTTTAAACTTCTCACATTTTCAATTACTGAAGATTAGACAATTAATTATACATATAATAACCAGCAGCAAAATAATTAGAAATGCATTTAATTTGCACATATATTAGGTCAATTCTGTCATTAATGCTTTCATTAATTCCTGAACATCGAAAGTCAAGCTTTCTTGATGTTCAACCAACTTCAATAGGAAAATCATTTGCAATGCTTTTCTATTGTAAACACTATTAGTATTACATAATATTACAGTAATATATATCATTATATTATTTATTTATAGTAAAAAAAAAATACGCACTGCTGATGAGTTCCAAATAGGATGAAATGGCCGTCCAGTGCTATAAATAAATAATATAATGATATATATTACTATAAATGATTACTCATTTGCAGGAGAATGTAAATGTTTTCCATTTAATAAGATATCAGCTAATATCGCTACACTACAGAAGAGATGTAACTGTAAGAAAATATCGGTAATGGTAAAACACTAAACTAGGAAACAGCATTAAGACCGTTATATGAAGAGGCCCAAAAAGAATATAGGGTGTTTTCAATATTGTGATCTGTTACTTTATCTTTGTACTGTTACTTTGCTTTTTATAGAGAGTAATGTTCTCTCCTATATTCAAAGTACTTTTTAAAATGTTTTGTAATATATTTGTTTCAACATTACATGTTTAACTACACTAAAATATTTTCCTGAATATGTCCTGCTAAATTGGAGGTACGTTTATGTTTCTCGCGCATTATTCCTAAATTAAACTTCGATAAGCGTAGGTGATGGGATCTCAGCAGTCGTCCTAAGGAAATGGGATCTCAACAGACGCCCCAAGGAAATGGGATCTCAACAGTCGTCCTAAAGAAATGGGATCTCAGCAGTCGTCCTAAAGAAATGGGATCTCAACAGTAGTTCTAAAAAATGGGATCTCAGCAGTCGTCCTAAGGAAATGGGATCTCAGCAGTCGTCCTAAAGAAATGGGATCTCAGCAGTTGTCCTAAGGAAATGAGATCTCAGCAGTCGTCCTAAGGAAATGGGATCTCAGCAGTAGTCCTAAAGAAATAGAATCTCAGCAATTGTCCTAAGGAAATGGGATCTCAGCAGTCATCCTAAGGAAATGGGATCTCAGCAGTCGTCCTAAGGAAATGGGATCTCAGCAATCGTCCTAAAGAAATGAGATCTCAGCAGTCGTCCTAAAGAAATAGGATCTCAGCAATCGTCCTAAGGAAATGGGATCTCAGCAATCGTCCTAAGGAAATGGGATCTCAGCAGTCGTCATAAGGAAATGGGCTCCCCAGCTGGCTCTAGTTCTCTCCAAACTCTGCAACTACTGCCTCGTTGCTTCTTGCTTTCCTCTTTGTTGGAACTCCTCTTCTGTATTTCCTGTTTTTAAGAACTCTGAAGAACCTCTATCTCCCTATTCGCCTCTTACCGCTTTTCGGCAATGTATTCAAGGCGTTAATCAATACTCAAGTGGTTAAACATCTTACCTATCACGACTTACTCTCTGAGAAACAATATCTACCACTGATGTGATAGCAGTAATCGCTGAATATGTATATCAAGCTCTTGATAATAACGGCGAAGATCGAGCTGTGGATCTAGATATTTCGAAGGCGTTTGACAGTGTTTGGCACCTTGGGCGTCTACGTAAGCTCCAGGGCTACGTTATTACCGGACATGTGTTGGATTTAATACACTTGTTCCTATCAAATCGTAAAATAAAGATTGTTTTGAACGGGGTCGCTTCAAGATCCTTTCACACAAATGCCGGTGTCTACCTGGATCCTACGTTTTGATCTCCATCAATGATCTACCTGATGTCATCAGTTGACAGGTAGGCATTTATGATGATGATACTATCATTTAGTCGTGTCTCAATAGAAAATCCGTCAGAGCAGGGAATGTTAACCTGTCCGCTGCTTGGTGGTTAATTGGAGCAAGAAATGGCTTGTAATTTTTTTTGCCTCCAAAACTAAACTGCTCTCATTTAACCACCATACATAAATTCCCTGCCCACCATCAGCTGGAGAGCGTCTCAGTGAGTCTTCTTGGCCACATGTTGCCAACTGACTTGAAGTAGGACAATTACATTAAATCAATAGCTACGTCTATTGCTAGGAATTCATTTTATCGTGCAAGAAAGTTTTTCTTGTCAGAGTCCATTTTTGCACATTTACAAATCTACTATTCGTCCATGCACTGAATACTGTTGCCATATCTAGTCAGGTGCTCCTGCTGTTTATCTCGAGGTTCTTGAAAAGATCCAAAGAAGGATCTGCATTGTAATCGATCTTGACTTGGTGTCTCAACGTTAGTCTCTTTCTCACCGACGTGCCGTGGATTTCCTTTGTCTTTTCTACAAATATTTTTATGGCAACTGCTCTGGCGAGCTTTTTTCCCTTGTTCCCGGACTACGTGAGTTTAAGCCTGCTACTAGGTTGGCATCTAGGTCCCCTACCCTTTTGAATTAGGTAAATGTAACCGCTACTTCTACTCCAACAGTTTCTTTTCTCGCACTTCACGCCTGTTGAACTCCATTCCGTTTCTTTGCTCCCCTGATAACGAAAATCTTCAAAAATTTAAATGTAGCGTCAATCGCCATCTTCTGTCTTCTTCTTGAATCCTGTTCAGCTTTTATCTTTTCATCGGTTCCCCTTACCCAGTCTTTTCTCCCACCTTCACTCCTTGTAACCCCCTGCGTACTTGCAGAATTCATGCCATGCTTGGGGGGTGAAAAGAATTAAAAAATAAAGTAAAATACGGAATTACCATTGTACATTCTAAATAAACTTGTTAATGTGTTGCTTTTGGTGGCCTCTATTTAATTTCACATCACTTCTTATTAATAAAATTTATATTATGATTATTTGCAAAAACAAATTATCTCTAAGGTTTACTTTTAATTATTGTATTTAAATTATATAATTAATTATTGTTAATTGCTTAGATTATTGTCGTTGTTAATCTACCATTAGCGTTTAATACTGACGAAACGTAGGGAAGACGGATCAAGAAAACGATACTGAAAACAGCAGTTAATAAACCTGGGAATATTTACCTTCAATAGTCATTTGTTTTCTATTTATACTTAATTTAAAACTAATCGAAACACGCGGTCCTATTAGGAAGGATATTGTTTTATTCTCCAAGTTAGTTATGTTTAAACGGTATTGCGTTAATAAAAATTTCGATACAATGTGCCTTTTTTCTGTTTTACAGTTACAAACACATTAATAAATATACAGAAAAATATGGCATCTTCGCCAGATTGGACAAGATACACATTAAAGAGACGAATATCAAATAAACTCAGATATCAAAACAAAAGAAGGTAGACACTGAGAATATTTTCTCTTTCACACTAAAAGAATTAAAGTATAACTTTAATTAATTTAATTAAGTGCGTCATTGGCCCTAATCCGAATTATGACGTGAAAAGAAAAATTCTATCAGTGTTTTTAGAATATCCGTTCTCTACGTCGATCTTATGCGGCGAGCCGACAGTGCAGACCGGAAATAATAATGGTTGACATCCGAGTGTGAAAATGTCCGTCCAAATTAAAAATTAATAAAGGTTGACAATATCTAAAAATAACTAAATTGACAATTCTTCTCAGAAGTTTATTAATTCACGAATTATTTCCAATCTGTTGTTTCAATGACGAACTTTCAATCCACTTGATCTCCGGACATCCTCAGGTGCATGTTTCATCTAGAAATGTTCAAAAAGCTTTCGTCGAATATTTTATATCGATCATTCTCGTTACTTAATAAGAATAGAAAAATCAACTTCCCAATTTATAACCAGTAGATTTTTATATTAAATCTAGTTCACCCATATTGTCAAAAATGACGGAATATTTTTTTAAGTTTTAGGCTTTCATATGTGAGACTTTACATATATTTTTATTATTATTATATAAATAACTAGTGTACCCGTGCCGCAAAGTTGACCGCTTATTTTATATCCGTCGCTGTTATGTTGTTGATAATTGGCTTCAGTGAACAAAAGATTATTTCCTTTATGAATTTTGTTTCTTTTTTATTTTCATTTCTTGCATTTCTCATGGCACCATTGTTACTCATTCCCCCTTCTGTTGCGTTGCTTTTCAGTTTCTTGCCGAAGATATTATTCTATTCGCATTCTTATATATTCTATTCGCATTCTTATATATTCTATTCTTGCGTAAGAATATTTCACTGTTTCCTTTTGAATCCTTTCAGCTACACATTCTCTCATAGCAGATCTTGCATTCGCCTCTTCCTCTGTTTCATTTTGTCTTCTTTGCACTGCTCTCTCTCTCTCGTTCTTTCTCTCTCTCTGTCTCTCTCCTCCTATTGTCCTCTTCTTCCTCTGTGCCTCTCGTCTCCTGGCTTGTGCTCCTATTGCTTCAAGATGTTCCTGTGATTCTTGTGAATATCCCCTAAAACGAAACCGATTTCTGTTAATCATCTTATAGAACCTTTTATGCCTTCCATCGACATGGCTGATGCTCCCCCTACCCAAGAGAGCAACACATTGTGCCTTCTTGTTCTAACGTTTTCCACAGATATGGAGTGGAATGATTATATTGAATCAATTGCTAAATCAGTTGCCAACCAGAATCTATTTTGCACATTTATAAGTTTACCATTCATCCACGTGTTGAATATTGCTGCTATATATGATCGAGTGCTTCTGTTTTATGTTAATGTTTGCATTTCTCATGCTCCCCACTATTTCTCATCCCCCTTTCTGTTGCGTTGCTCTTTAGTTTTTTTTTTGTTTGTCGAACGCATTCTCCCATTCGCATTCTCATTGTTTCTCTTCTTGCGTTAGCTTCTTCTATTTCATTTCGTCTTCTTTGCACTGCTCTCTCTCTCTTTCTCTATCTCTCTCTCAGACCTGCTCTCCTCGTGTTCTGTCTCATTAGTTTGCCTCTGTGCCATGCGCCCCCTGGTGTTCCTGTAAATATCTTTACCTATCAACCTCCCGCCATGCATATGTCCGAACGATAGATAGACGTAATCGCTGCCTTCGTTTTGTTCTCGTTTTTGCTTTGAGGAAATTTTCCATTTTATGATGTTGACTAGAAAAAATTGTATATTAGGTTAGCAACAGAACGACAAAGACGGCAATGACAAAGCCTATTTCAAGACCAAGTTGAAACAAGACGATCACTTAATGGACAAAGGTATCTGAGTGCCTCACATGAAAGGCTTGAACAAATAAGAGTGTAATATAAGAAACCTAGGAGTAAATGAACTGATTATGGCTCATAATGCTTGGGAACTAATTTTGTTTAATTGCAGATAAATAATTTATTTGTACAGATTATTAAAACGAGTAATCACTTATAAATTTACTACCTCAAATTGATGTATCTCCGTCATCACTACAAATGGGACAGGAAATATATAAATAAATACACATTGATAATTCTTTTATGATTTGATGATTCCTAAAGAATAAAACAAAAACAACGAAAATTTGGTCTTATCAATATCGTTTCAATTACCATGTTTCATTTTGCTTGGTTTCCGGCCATCCTCAGACTTATGTTTCATTTAGAAATATTCAGGAAGTTTTGAATAGAATAATTTATAACGAGACCATTATTTATTTATTAGTAATTTTCGTTACACTGAAAACATTTGACTCATTCAGGGGACAAAGATTCGGGCTACACGTTAAATGGTTAGCGGGGTATCCTATGTATCCGTGACCTACATCTGATAAAAGTCGAAGAGCTCATCGGCTGAAATGTGCTGATCAAAACAACAAATATAAGAATAATTCGTTGAATAATGTTTAAGTGATTTTTTCATTGTATTTTGAATTTAAGCAGTTCTTTTGAAATTGGGTTTACGGTCGTATCACGTTGATTCACCGGACGATCACCGAAATTAAGCAAAGTTGAGCTTGGTTAGTACTCAGTTGGGTGACCGCTGGGGAATACCATATGGTGTAATCTACGCGTCAGGCCTAGCAGACCGGCGATAAATACAATCACACTACTCATACTGACAGATGACCTCCATATGTGGAGTTTCTTCTGTTGCAGGACCTAGTTGAAGTTAGATAAGTGAGCGAATGATTTTGAAACTGGTTTTCCAAACAATTCAAAGTATAATGATAAAGCTAGTCTTATTCCTGACTTGGTTACGATTTAGTAACGGAGAATCTTTGCTCTTCAAAGATTATTATTTAAATACTTATATACAGTCCGTCTGAAGTTATTATGCAAGTCAATTCATATCTACTTTGAAAGATTTTTGTCAATTAGTTTAGATGTCAAAAGAAAGCTTGAGTTAAATTTTTAGGCAGTTTAGGTGAAGAACATTAGAACAGTCCACCCCAGTGAGCGAAATAAAGGGTTTAGTTCGACATTCCAACCACCTGAAGAAGGCCGGAGCGTACAACGGCAGAAACGTTGTGATAAACATGGCGACAAAGATGAGGTAGACTGTTCTAGTTCCACGTGCCATGTTTTAATGGATGTCAGTTACCAGTTATCTCCTGTTAATTCCCCTCTACTGCTTTAACCGGGTATTGAACTCACACTCTTTGCGTCCTGCCACTGGATCTAACCAACGCCTTTATCCACTGTGCCATGTGTACTTGTGCATAAATTTCTGGTTATGTCTAATGTCTCACCAACTATATTTTAACTAGTGCGCATATTGCAATTTTTGCTGTTATTATCGCTTTTCTCTGGCACTCCTTATTATTGGTTCCTATATTGTATTCATTTCTATGCTTGGTCGGCTCAGGAAATTTTTGTGGCTAAGCATATGTTATGTGTGGATCAATTGTTGATGATTTTATTGCTGTGTTATTGAAGCAAAAAATGATTTTCTGCTTTTGCAGGCAGCAGTTTTTATAATAAATCCAATGTTGAAACTATCTAAAAATTTAACCCAAGTTTTGTTTTGACGTCCAAATTAATCGTTTCAAATTTGACAAAAATGTTTCAAATCAAGTTCGAGTTATTGAGGTTGATGTGATTTGCATAATAACTTCAGACCGACATGTAACGCGTAAAATTATTCACTTATTAGACTTAATTCGCTAACGTTATACACTTAGTTGAATAGTAACATTACTTAGTAAAAACATACGAAGGAAACTAATAGTGCATAATGTTGATGTAGTTATATCGAACGCAACTCTTTCAGATCAATCAAGTTCTAAGAAATATGAAAAAATTAACATCACGTATAATAATCAATAGTGTAACTTTTATTTTTCTTTTCTATTTTTAATGATAGCCTCGCTCGTTGTCTGATGAATATTAAGAAGTTGCTTCCATTTTAAAGCGTAATGAGAAATTCATTAATATGGCAATACGAGGCTTTCGATGTATCACTCGAAGCGAGAATGCATCGTCCTGTCATAACAACGGAATTTTTTAAAACAATTTAAAAAATTGTCCTTGAATTTGTTGTGGTTAATAACTATAAAGATAAATTACTTCTTTCTTATTTTTGTGCCATATCTCTCCGAGACGCAAAATCATGACTCTCCACATCTTCTTGTGTCTGTTGCTTTAAATAACTTTTACCTCTTTACCGTTTCTCTTTGCTCCTGTTCTGTTATCATTCAGAAAACTAGTTCCGTTAATTACTGCCTTGCTTTTCTTGTTTTCAGTATATACTGCGAATGTTAATTTCTCGAGGCTTCTTTCCTCATAATATGTCTTAGAAATGTCAACTGTCTTTCTGATTGTAAGTATAAATGTCGTTTTAGTTCCTATTTTCTTTAAGACTTTCTCATTTATCACATGTTTAGTCTATGTTATTCTCAACCTTCAACTCCTTCAGGTCACACACGTTGTGGCAAACCCACCCACATCCCCTCCGTATTCCATCGGTGAGAAGTAAGTTCCACTCGAACAGCTTCTTCCAGCTAAGCACTGCTCTGTGGACTCCCAAGAGGATGTTTCCCCGATCACTATAATCTGAACCTGTTCAAGTCTAGAGTTAGCCGTTACCCACCCCCATATACTTATAAACTGCCTCTTAATATAACACTATCCCAGGTGTTCCCCGGGTCTTGTATAGGGTGAATCTCACTGTAAAAAAAAGAGGCATCACATATTTGTCTTTCTTCTTTACAATTGACGTGTTTGACCAGTATTTAATGCCATATATGAGATTAAATTTTACATAGCAGTTAAAACCATTTTCGTTTTTTTATGAAATTTTCCTGTTTCTTAATACTTTGCTTACTTTCTGTAAGGCATCTTCTTCTGTCACTGTGCATATTCAGATTTCTGTATCACAATATCCACCGTCTGTTCCTGCACTATATATAAGTTATTAACCGATATTAAGAGGCAAATCCTATGAAATACAAGTTTTTACTTTTTTTTTTACTTTCGCGAATAGGAACAAGCTTTCGTTAAATCTAATGTCCTTCATAGTTTACTTTCAGTTGAAATGAACAAGATTCTAAATGCAACACGTAATTGTAAAGAATAAAGCTAATTTTCTTGCAATATTGCCATCATAATTACGACCAAATTTGTTTCAATTTTAGATGAACGCATCTTATCCGATTTAAAAAAAATGTATAAATAAATGAATAAAGTATTTGCGAAGGAAACAATACAATACTGTCTTTTCATAATTCTTTTATAGTGTTGTCGTGCTTTTCCTTACGAAATCAAGATAATTTAAATTTAATAGGAACAAAATGTGGTTACGCAGATTTATTCGCACAAAACTTAAATGGTCTGATTTCTACAATACGTTCAATAAGAACACTTGATTAAATTGCCTCTAATTTCAATCAACCGTAGACATCGATCTTATGATCATTATCCAAAGATGTGATTCAAAATCTTTTTGGAAAGTCTATTTCTTTCAAATAAGAAATCAATTTTTATCTAAGTCTCCTTAAAATAGTTTGAAGTCTCTCAGACGATTAAAAAGGCATATTTTAAATGACACCATATGGACTCTTCGGCATGGAATATTGGTTAGGAAACCCAGATTAACAGATTATTACTACTGTGATGAATTCGATCGTCACCATGTGCCCCCCTTCTGCAAAACTAAATTTAGTAAATACACCAAACTAAAGTAGTGCCTTTTTGGACGGATTTAAGAGGTAATAAACACCCGCTGAAAGCAAATATTTTTCACAATACTTTAAATAACAAGTATCTTTTTCTTTGTCCGATTTTTTAAAAAAAATCTGTGAATCAACGAATAATGTACTTATCTAAAGGAAGCGATGTAATTAAGAAATCATGCTATATTTCTATAAAGACTAGTTTATTTTGGGGGGATTTTTTTTTTATTTAGAGAGTCCATTTTTTTTGTCGGCGGACATCAATCATGGCATTATTGAAGTTTATTTTGGCTGACGAAAGATGACATTAAAAAATGAAAATTATTAGCTTAAAAGTGTTTTTTAAAATATATTACAAATAACTTTTTACTAATTTCTAACGCTTAAAAACATTAAATTTTCAAAGAAGACATGTAAATGTTTATTTCAATGTAAGATTTCATTTTTTTTTAGTTCAAGTTCAAAGAGGAAATAGGGAATGTCGGATCTCACTATCTATCCTACATCTAGCTGATCTAATTCACGATCCATTCGCTCTAACAACAGGCACAATCAACACAAGAACTTATTCTTCCATGCCTAATCGAACATTTAGCAAAACACTGCATATTTGCAGAAAACCTACTAAAAACCCCGTGTTATAAAAATTAAAAGAAGAAAAAGTACAATTCTGTTTTTATTATTTTTTTCTTAATTTTCTTTTACAAAAATAGACAAAACGTTTTAAACCTTTTTATAAAAAATCTCTGATTATTATTACGATTTCTAACAATTTGGGAATTTGAGAATCTTCTAAATACTAAAGTTTATGTAATACAAAGCTCGAGAGGAACTCAAGGTAGATGGTAACTGTTAAAATGATTATGATGAATGAAGCGTGTGAGATGAATCAGGGCGGAGTTGGTAGGAAGGGAAGATTATGAGCTTAAGGTACCAGTTTCCTTACGATCACCGAAGTAAAGCAACGGCGTTCCTGGTCAGTATCTAGATGGGTGATCACTTGAGAATATCAGGTGCTGTAAACCTTGATGTGCGGGTGGTGTAATGGATAATGGTTTGGAATTGCTAATCGGAGAGCCGAGTTCCAGTTCCGTTTATATTCGTCATATATATATATATATATATATGTATGTATTTCGTTATGTTCACTTACGCACAAATACCCTTTTGAAAGGTATGAATCCATCTCTTTTTCCCCTATTATGGATTAAATAGTAAGACTTGATTCAATAAAACCATTATTATTTCCAACAAAAATATTAAATAAATAAATTGCGTACAAAATATTTTTGATTTTGGCATTAAATAACCCATATAGGTATTGATATGCCGCAAACAAAAACAAAGAAAGGAACATTATAAGGATAAGGATAAGGAAAAATGACGATTGACCCTTAAAAAGAAGAGGTGAAGATTGTAATGTCCAAGGAAGCAACAAGGCAGGAATCTGTTTCACAGATTGTCAGTTATTGGGAAAAAGCTGTCTGGGTGAAAATTTCTCTTTTACAATTGGAATACGGGGGAAATGAGGATGAGTTGACTCCGTAGAAATACATGGCATGTCCTCATTGTAAAGGTCTGAACTGGTGGAACTCAAGCATGGAGCGCACATCTGAACACTTGCCATGGAAATAGCGATAGACGAGCGATAGGCTTTCAATGTTGCATCTGTGCGGAACGAGGCTGCCGAGTGGAGAATACGTCTCCACACCCCACAAGACCGTGTAAATGATTTTGAAATCTATCAAGGCTGGAAGGTGAAGATTGTGCAACTCCAGCCCAGATATGGCAGCAACTCTCTATTGATAAGCAACATATAGATCATATCATTTAATATATGTAAAATATGAAAAGTGGATATAGACAATGCTTAAATGTGAAAAAATATCTAGC